CACACACACACACACACACACACACACACACACACACACACAGTATCTGCACACCAATGGGAGATTTCAACTTTTTATTTGCAAACAAATATTTTGTTATTTTATCAACATGTCAAAAACAATGTAAAATATTGTGGGGGAAAAAATCCAGATTCTCCACTGAAAAAATTAATTTGAACAAAAAAAAATCACATTATAATTATATTAGAAACTGTTAGGTAAACGTATAGTAATAAAAAAAAACAGCCCGTTCATCTGTTACTTTGTTTTTAAGAAGTTATTTTGTTACATTCAACACAGGGTGATCTAAAGCTAGAGTCAAGCTCCAGTGTTGGTCACCAAAAAGCTCCAGTTTGTCACTAAATATAAAAAACAGGATGTGAACCATACAACTGTGCCTATGATTCCCACGTCTTTAGTAGTGAAAATGACAGGAAGGCTCTTGTCCTGTGCTGCCCACCTTCATAAACGTGTGCCTAGCTGACAACTGGAAAAGACCTAATGTTTTAAGGTAACAACAGAAAAAGGAAAGCATATAAACTCAGACCAATTAGTAAGGAAATGTGTGTTTTGTAGATTATTTCAGCTTTCAAACTGTAACCCAGTTTTTCTAAYTCGCACACCAGTTTTAGCTTGTTGCTAGTCAGGTGATAAATCGCCAACTTTCAACAAAAATGTTTATAATTTTGGAGCAATTGAGAATGTTAAAATATTAATAATTCAATATTGAAAATCTTTTCATTGTGACTCATTTTACCAGCACGGGTCACCTGTTGGCTTAACTTTTTATTTTGTTTTTGTCGTGTACATAAGAAACTGGGCTTATTGCTCGAAAGCTTTAGTTTTCTTGAGCTGACCCTTTCACTCATCAAGGCGTTGTAGAAAATGTCTATTGCACACACTTTAACTTGCACTATATTGCCAAAAGTRTTTGCTCACCCATCCAAATGACTGCACCAGTGCACAAAGCAAGGTCCATAAAGRCATGGATGRCAGAGTCTGGTGTGGATGAACTTGACTGGCCTGCACAGAGTCCTGACCTCAACCTGATAGAACACCTTTGGGATGAATTAGAGWGGAGACTGAGAGCCAGGCCTTCTCCAACATCAGTATGTGACCTAGAATGTTCAAMAATCCCCATAAACACACTCCTAAAGCTTGTGGACAGCCTTCCAGAAGTGTTGAAGCTGTTCTAGCTGCAAAGGGTGGACCAMCGTCATATTGAACCCTATAGATTAGGAATGGGATGTCACTAAAGCTCATACSTGAGTCAAGGCAGGTGAGCCAATRCTTCTGGCAATAYAGTATGTTAAAGTTGTGTGAATAAACTTAACTAAAAGCAAGAGATGCGCCCCCCCATTGATGCTCTCAGTCAGACATGGAGAGGGAAATGGCTCCGGAGTCACAGGAACTTTTCATTCCTGGTTTGAGTGAGAGCTGACTGTCTGGACTTGGAGAGACGGTCTGTGTTGTCTGGTCCTCTATCACCTGAGTGGACAAAACAAAATAAGAAAATAGTAATACTGTTTCATCAGATGGGAATTGAGTAGCTCAGTTAAATGTTTTGTTTTGCCCTGCCTTGACTTTGAACATAGTTGAGCAGGTACATGAAAATGAAAAAAAAAAAAAAAAAAAAACAGATCATTATGATGCAGTACCTCTTCAAACTTCTTAGCTTTATATCGGTCTGCTCCATTCAAGCAGTTCAGTAAGATAATATCACAGAGAACTGTTCCCTGTCAACATGAAAACATCAATCAGAAATAGCAGACAAAAAGATGAAAAACCCATTTTAGCCTCAGTTTASAGGTTCATACCATCCCAATGGAGGTTAACGCAGCAACGATGTTGATCACTGTCGGGACTAAGCTGAACTTTCCTGCCTGGGAGACATAAACGCAGGAAAAACTAAATCTGTTGAAGTCCCACATACAGTGCTGTGATGTTTAATACGTGGCCACAAGATAATTTTGAGCAGCCATGTCTCGTTAGAAATACAGACATTGTTGGAGTCAGATTATTTATGCCTTTATTTTTTGTTTTTTAACTGTTCATGGGTACTCTGCTATGGAGTTCCATTTGTGCCAAAAATATGTTGGCACATATGGAACTCCATACTCCACACTTAGTACTATTATTTGACGAATGTTAAATCCAAACTTGCTAAAATGGAGACGAGATGCTTTGAAGATTTGGGCAAGCTGTGTTAGCATAGATTAGCATACTGATTAGAGACAGTGATGAAAGTCAAATCATAAGAAATTATTTTTTTTATAAAAGTTTATAAAGACAGTAATCCCACGTGTGTTTTCACTTGAAATACATGTGGGGCAAGCCTACGGTGCCAGTTTCTGTGCTAAGCTAACATGATGCTAACTATGCTAACAGTGAAAGATGTTTGCTAGCAGGCTGAGACAATATAAGGTTCAAAACTGATTTGAGAAAATGCAGCATTATATAATACTGTTACCACAATATCTGGATGTGGAAAATATATATTTTTTTTGTTTTGTTTTTAAAGTTTTGCCTGATATGTTGTTGATTTTGGTTCGTTTTGTTTTCAGTGTGAAAACAGCCAGAAACGAAACAAGTGTTTAATGATTACCAACAAATTGCAAAAATTTATACCATTTGCTTTGTCTATTACTTTTGCTATATTATTATTACTGAAGTCAATGATTTAATTTCACTTCCACTGACTTACTTCAGCTTTTTTTAACTAAGGCAAATTTAATTAAAACTAATTGATTTAATTTTAAAAGCTTCTACTTCTATTTGTGCCCTCAACATCCTCTTAATTGTGAACAAACGACACAAATTCCACATAACTCACTTTGCCGGTAACCATGATATCAAACCGGACTGCGTAAACTTTGTGAAGGGTTCTGTATTCAGTCCCATTCTGTGTCTTGAAATATTTGGCATATCTAAATACAAAAAAAATGGAAATGCTATAAAACAATTAAAGGCTGATGAGAGTAAAAAGTAATATACAGTAAAGAAAAAGAAGTTAGCCGCCACTACCTGAAGTTGTACCCTTTAGAGATCTTGTTTTTTTCAAAAGGAGCATCCAGTCTACTGAAAGAGTACTTGGGAACACATTTCTCAATGTTTTCATCCAGGTTGCACTGCCACTCGATGTTTATTCCTATTTCTCCACCCTGAAAGAGAAAGGGTCACATATTAAAGTTTTATTACGTTTTTTAAAAAAACATCGCCGTGAGATAATTAACGAGTGCGTGCGAGATAACAGTAGGTGGCCACAAGATAGTCAACACAAGGCAAGTTAGTGAGGTGTATGAGGTAGTAATGCGTGGCCACTGGATAGTCAACTTGTGACCACAAGATAGTTAACRTGGCCACAAAATAGTCAATGTATTTCTATGGGATAAGGGGGCGTAGGCACAAGACAGTAATGTGTGATCACAAGATAATAACACATGGTCACAAGATATTCAATAAGTGGCCACGAGATAGTTAACACATGGTTAAGAGAAAATAATGTGTGGCTCCGACAGACATGCTCCACTGATATTTAATGGTCACCAGCAAAAATCCTTGTATCAAAGATAAGTCTGTCAAACTGAATAGAGAAAATAAAAAGAACTGCATCAATATTTTAACATTTGATACTAGTTGCTTTGTACACTGTATCTTCCCATAAACAACRTGACTGATTGATATATTTTATCAGTATTCCCTGATGATTTCTCTATCTCTCTCCAACAAACCCACATTGATGCTGGACCAACAACCTTTGGGTCTGGAGAATGGAGCAAAAAGGAAACCAAAGAACTTGTAAGACCTTCACTGCCAGCTGAGTCCAGTCACGCTGGATTTTCTTCAGCACGTCCTCCACCCGRAAGATGGGACAGAAGGGATCCTTCTCATTGTTTGTGCAGTTCTTTATATCCATCGTAGGAGGAAAATTTCCTCTGAGAGACAAAAGAAGTTGTGACTTTTTTCAGCACTAAGAGTGGTTGGTGAATGTGTTATTTTTGCTGCACGTTTCAGCTGCTTTTTAGTCTAGTCCGTTTTGAGACTCATGAATGACCCACCTGGTGACGTTGAAGAGTGGGAATCGAATGCTGTTTTTGATGAAGATGGTGAAGTTTTTTAAATCCATTGGTTCTCTGTAGAAAGGGAGCGCAGCAGATGAGTTTTCCAGGGCAGAGATGTTATTCTGTATTATCTACGTGTGTTGACCCTTACACRTTGACGTTGTCGTTCTCTGCCGGACACCATCCTTCAATCTCGCACATACCTTTTGATTCATTCGAGGATTTATAACAATTGCCTGTCATCATACCTTTAAAAAATAAAATAAAATGAGATGATCAGATTTTGCATCAGCTGACCAGATGTACATTTACAACTGCATAACATAAGAAGTTAACTCGATTCAAGATGGTCACCACAGCTAACCAACCTTAGCCAACACATWCACAGTTATAACTCAGTWTTAAAGACACTGAGCTACACTTTAGTGTGGTAGTAGCCAAAAGTCATCCCCATCACACAGTCTGAGTGTGAACAGATCAATATATAAATCTTCAGTGTTCTCAAAAAACTCATATGAGCCAAGAGTGAACCAGTCACTTTCCAGAACTCACCATTGGAGAGAACAGAGCCAACATGTTGAGCGCAGTCCTCATCTGTCTCGCATGCAAATTTTTTATCAGTCTGAAATACACACACACACACACACACACACACACACACACACACACACACACACACACACACACACACCACAAAAAAAAAACACAATATGAACATGTTACAGAAAAGTACAAAAGGTAAAATGATGAATACTGTATTTATTCATGTATAATACGATCATCATTTTTTGAGCTTACAAAGCATAATAATCTAGTTATCAATAACCCGTGTATAATACTATCCCCCCACTTTATGGATGATTTTTAGGGTTAAATTTCTAGTATTATACATGAATAAATACAGCTATTGTTTTTCAGTCGCACAACTGATAACAATGCAGCAGTTAAAATTTAACAAGGACAATATTGATTACCTAAAGTGATTTTGTTATGCGTAAGATAGTTTAAGATGCTAAAATAAGAAGTGTAAATGTTTTAGTAGCTCAAATTAAATTCAAATTCCTGTAAAAGGTTTAAAAGGAGCAGAGCTGATAGGAAAACTGCTGACAGACAGACGACTCGCACCAAAACATAATACAACCCTTCTGGTTAATACAAAAGGGTTTAATTAACATTTTTCAGAAATAATGGATTTTTGTGAAAGATCAGTCATTTGAGAGACAAAGAAAAATGCACAAGTAAAAACCATTTGTTTATTTGAATTTGAGTGGATTCTGTGACTATGGAAGAGGATCAGAATCACCGTAAATAAAAAATCTGCAAAKGTTAGAATTCTGACTTTCTAATTTTAATCTGAATTCTGAAAAACAAGTCAGAATTCAGACTTTATTTTTAGAACGCTGTTGTTAAAAACAGTGTTCTGAATTCTGACTTCTATTCAAAATTTTGACTTGAGGAAAAAAAATTATCAAAACAAAAGTTAAATTAAATCCGGAAATCAGAAACAAATGTCAGAATTTTGACATTAATCTCAGAATCCTGTGAAAAATAATGAGGAAAAAAAATAACAGAATTTGAACTTTTTACKTTTTCACAGAATATTTTTAACTGTGCCTCTAAGCTTATTCTCTAACAATAAGGGTCATTAAAATTTGGGTAAAAACTTCATTGAAACAAAGTAAAAACCCACCTCTGCACATCGACCTTGGAACTGATTATCCGTTAGGATGGCTCTGGTCATGATGCAGAACATGCCTGCACCCTAAAGCACATCAGGACATCACAGATGTACCACTTCTTTACATAGAAAGCATAATTTAAACAAAACGTCTAAGGGTAACCCACCTGAGGAGGGTAGATGTAATCGGCCACATCCATCACTTGGTCATTAAGTTTACCAAAACCTTTGACTTTGGTTATAACCGATGACTCGATGGCCGTGTCACTCACCTGATACGCCTTTTCATACAGGAAGACRTAGCTGCAGGACAAATAACACAACATGGTTACCAAAGGTTCTCCAGATAAGAGAGAGAGAGAACTCTTTCTGCTCAGGTTAAACAGCAGATCACACTGACCCAACAAAATATGTGATGATGACCAGCTGCACGACTCGGTTAGTGATCCCCACAGACCAGCTCTTCACCACGACAGACTTGGTGGTTTCATAGGTCAAGAAGCCAGTAACACAGCCCACCACTGCTGACATGTTGACCAACTCTTCCTCCAAAACTTCAAACTTCTGAGCCACAAAGAGAGCTTCTCCTGGTTTTAAATGCAAAGACTGTTCTCTTCTTCTTTGGCGTTGTTCTTCAGCTTCAACACATGAGTGTGATGGTGTCTCTCCTCTCTGCCTCTCTTCTCTTGTGTCATTGGTTTAAAACACAAACCGGACCTCCTCCTCCTCATCATCATCATCACCCAGAGGAGCAGGAGGAGGGGGGATACCTCCTTCCTTCTTCACCACAAATCCCTCATCTACACCATTCTCATACGAACTCAGAAACAATTAGAAGCACCGATCAATAAGTCGGACCAGATCTGTTTGTTTAGTGTCAAATATTTGCTCAAAGTGAAACAAACACTCAGATTAGTTCATACTGAGACAATTTAATAAAAAGGATGATTCACTAACCAGGCTGCTTTTATTGGGTTATTCCAGTAGTTCTCAAACTGGGGGGCATGCTGTTTTTATTTTTATTTTTATAATGAACAACAAATTATTCAGGATAAAAAGTCAAAACAAATGGTTATAATAATGCATTTTTTTAAATAAATAGTGACTAGTTGGGGGAAAAATGATGGTTCTTTAATGACAAAACAAAAAGAATGAGTTTTATTTGAGGTTCATTTTGTTTGCAAATGCAGATAAAATCGGGTCTCCACAACCCTGAAAAACAAGTTGATCCCAAGTCTTCAGGGGTTGATTGACAACTTTAAAAAACTTAGTGATTATGGTAAAATCTTGCCTACAAAATCTAGATCCAGATGCTAAAATGCTCATTAAACTGGATCACATTTRACCAGAGAACTTTTCTGGTTTCCATTGCAGATCAAGGTAACAAAAAGCAGAAACAACAGATGTTAAGACCTAAAATAAAAGGTCCTAACGGTCTTACCATCTGTTATTTCTGCTTTTTGTTACCTTTTATTTATACACAGTTTATCTAAAAATATATATTTAAACACCTGTTTTTAAAGGCATAGCTCTAAATAATGTACTTGTCTTATATGAATCAGAGCAGACTACAGTTTTCTGTTAGTTTTTAACAAGCTTTCAGCACATCTCCACTGGGACTTTGGACCACTTTTCCATTCTCTACATCTCCATAGTTTAAAAGACTTCCTTGCCATTACTCGGGTCTCCAGGTCCCGCCACAAGTTCTGGGATCATATTTAGGCCCAAGCAAGGCATTAAAAGTACTTTTATTTTGCAAATTGTTTGATATGCTCATAAAGAATTTATTTAATCAGTCATGATGCTGTTTTGACAAAGCTCATTCATATTACAATAAGCTTCAGGGCGAACTCAGTCAACTTAACTTTTTAAAGTTTACTTCAGTGTTGCAAACAGTAAGTATTAGGAARCAGGGTGATGTAAATGCTGCTTGTAGAAAATAGAAAACAAAACAGGTCCATACCTATATTCCTTGGTTCCTATGCTCAAAAGCACCTACTCTACATTCGACAGTAGCTATGTTCCTCAGTATCTGTTTAACAGTACCTTCAAGAGTATCTATGCTCCCCAGTACCTATGCTTAAGTGTACCAAGAGTACCTATTTTCAAAGGAATCTATGTTTGAGAGTACCTATGGTCGAGAGAACAAATCTTCAAAAGTGCCTGTGTTCAAGAGATCTTATGTTCAGAATTACCTATGTTCTTGATGTTTAAGAGTACTTGCATTCACAGTACCTGTGTTCAAACATACCAATGTTCCTCAGTACCTATGTTCCCTRGTACMTTTGTTTRAAAGTACCTACATWTGAGAGTGAGTTTGAAAGTACCTGTCTGAAATAACCTTTGTTCTAGAGTAGCTATGTTTCCTGATACTAATATTCATGATAACCTACTGTGTGTTCCCCAGTACTTACAGTTTGTTCCCTGGTACCTAAGAGTATATGTTTGATAGTACCCATGTTCTTAGGTAACAATGTTCAAGAGTACTTATATTCACAGTACCTGTGTTCAAACATACCCATGTTCCTCAGTACCTATGTTCCCTAGTATCTTTGTTCGAAAGTACCTACATTCGAGAGTATGTTTGAAAGTACCTACAACTTTATTAAAGACACAAATAGTTMATAGAAAATAGAATTTAAGAMAAAGAAAAAAGGAAACAATCACATRAAAAGATAATAATCACATAAAACAAGTCACTGAATTACAGAGACCAGACCGCCAGTGATTCCACATTCTGGACTTAAACCTGACTGAGCTTTGTGATCCGTTAGTATCTGGATGATACTCTTTGTAGAGACACGTAGCCTCCACATAAACCTGTACATAAGGTTTCTTACCTATGTTTGAGAGAACCTTTGTTCTAGAGTAGCTATGTTTCCTGATACCAATAATCAAGAGTACCTACGATCCCTGGTACTTACTGTATGTTCCCTGGTACCTAAGAGTACCTATGTTGGAGTGTACCTATGGTTTCCCAGGTTTAATTATGAAAGTCTGAGTAACATTGCTGGCATTGTACCTGGAAACATAGGTAGGTTCAGACCCGTTGMCTTGGGTCTTACACGTTCTATTATGTTTGTGTGGATTTTCTCCAGGTGCTCCAGTTTTCGTCCAACAGTCCAAAACATGCATGTTTAAGCTGCCCTGAGACCTCCCTTGAAAAATTAGTTTAATCAGGTTTKTTTTAGAAGTCTTCTCCATTTTTAAGCATTGATCTATGAAAGTTTAGAAAATGTTCCCACATTAAATGTTACTGCTCAAGAACTTCTGAATGCTCAATGTGTCTTCTACGTTGTTTTTTTTAATTCCAAACGTCTTCTCGGTAATTGTAAAGAAAAACAAGCAGAATCAGGGGCTGATCTGTAAGAACACAAAGTCTTAAAGCTTTATAATAAATGACAGAATGTGGTGTTATTGACTAGTTGACATACAATACGACTGTTTCTCTACCCTCACAGGGACAAGCAGAATTAGGGAGATAATGTGATGCAATGACACTGAGTGTTTCTCTCTGCCTGTAGATGTATGTGCCTGAACTGCGTGTCATTTCTTAAGTGGCTCCATTATGTTTGTGGTCCGTTAATGGTAACATAATCCAGGACTAGATGCATAGAGGCACATGTTCTGGACGTAAAGCTTTCAGGCTGTATGTAATTGTTGTATCTATCTCCCGGGATATCTGAGGCGTTACTGTAATGGTCGGAGCTGTGCAAGAATTACACGAGACATAACRTTGTGTCCGTAGACAGAGGATTGTGGGATGAATTTGTTTGTAATAAAAGGCRATCGCCACATGTAATTTATTATTAGAAAACAAACGTCTAAAACCAAAACATTAGGGTTAGACAATTACACAACTGCTCACAAGAGTGGAGCCCACAGCCACAGGCCGGTCTGATGACTTGGCATTTATTTTGCGAGTTAAGCTTAGAGTCTAGTAGAGAAGGTTTTTAAAGCTTTCTTTAYTCTATCATTGTTAAATCATTAAATTAATCTGACTTTCAATCAGGTTTCGATATTTCAGAGTAAATAATTGATGTTAAAGCTCAGAAGGCCACAGAGCAAAAAATATTTTTCATCTAAACTCTGACTAAAATCTCAGAATCGTGAATGCAATCTCAAAATTCTGACTTGTATCACAGAATTCTAACATTTTTCTCAAGATTCTAACTTTAATCTGGTAATTTTGAGTAAGATTTCTGACTTTTCTCAGTATTCTGTCTTTTACATCAGAATTCTAACTTTAAAATCATAATTCTGGCTTTTATCTCAGAATAAACAAAAAGTAAAAAATAAAAAAAATCTTCTCAGAATACTGAATTCTATCTCAGGATTCTAACTATAATCTCAGAATTCTAATTTATCTAACTAATCTCAGAAATCTGAGAGAAAACAACAGGAAAATATCTGTACGGTGGCCTTAATCCTTTTCTGTAAAGAACATTATTCCCAAACGTTCAGAGTTAATTACATTTTAAATTTATTAATTAGATTTTAATTAGATTAACTTTATATATGTAATAAAATATTCAAAGTTCAATCAAATTTTTTTTACCTCCATATCAGTGTTTAACTGTAACAGTTGTGATGAAAGCTTCCTGAGATGATCCGATTCAAGTCTCAGTTGTTGAGATTTGATAAATTAGTTTTTTTTTCTCATAGATTAGAAAGTATTGACTCAGGAGTTTGTTGACTCCAAACTGGAGTGTTCAGAAGGGAACAAAAACTGGGAAGAGGAACGGGCCTTGGACAAATTTCTTAATGTAATCCTACCACAGCTCATTACCCCGCTCCACCTCCACCCCATTAGGTCTGATAATATGAGACCGGCTTTTAGAGCAGTCTTAGCTGAAGTGTTCCCACAGGGTTTCTGCACACTGAGGCACATTTAACCAGGCAGAGCAGTTTTTTTTTTTTTTTTTGGGTGGGGTAGGGAGAGGGTTGGGCGTGTTAGATGGTGGCTCTGGTGAGAGGTTTAGAGACAGTGGTTTCCAACTTTAAAAAAAACTAATCGCTGTTGAAGTAGAGGGTGGTTTGAAGGGAGGCTTTTAAGAGCCAGACACCACCGGATGAGAAGAGGTGTTTTGACGATAAGATGATGTTTTCTGCATCATAAATTCTGATCAGACGTCCTGAGATTGATTTCTTTTGTGTGTCAGATTATCAGTGATCTCTGGCTGATGGCTCTGGTTCCATGGAAGACCACAACCATTACAACTCCTCCTCAGGAAACCATTAATAACCAACAGGCTGTTAAGTGCTGAGTTGCTTTGTAGTATTACCAAAAACCAAGTTATTACATTGAGTCATGATGTTTTCTGGCARGGAGTTTTGAAGATTAGATTAAGAGTTTTTGGCCGTGGTCTGTTATGTTGTATTCATTTTCTTTCTATTTGCATCCATGGAGTCAGACTTCCTTTTAACTTTGTAAATTAATCTTTRTCAAACGTTATTTAGGATTTCTAAAGGTTTTTTACACTGTTCTTTGGAAACTGGATCTTTTTTTCCCCATTTCCTGTCGTCACTGACCACTTTCACAGGAAGGCTTTTGCCACTTAACTCAGACCTAAGAAACATTCAGACATAAAAATTAGATCAGTGGTTCCCAAAGTTGGGGTCGGGACCCACAGTGGGGTCCTGAAACATCAAGGTGGGGTCCT